GAGATACATTTTGTATTTAACGTTTTATTGCCATATTGATAAGAAAGGTCAATAAAGCATTTCATATTTGAGGTAAATCAATAATAAATATAATAAAAACGTAATATAAATTGTACTCATAATTAGTTTTCTTAACTTTTTGTGCGTTGTTGTCATACATTTTGTTCCCAGAAACTACCCGGCTGATTTTCTCGTCACTTTTCCCGGACTATGACAATTAAGGCAACAGCAATGGGAAATATGACACATCGAGAAAAAATTGCCTTTTCCAGAACCTGCTCTACAGGACAGTCTGAAACAGATCAAAGATGGAGGGAGAGCATAGTCATAGGAAAAGTTACACTGTTGTCTCTTGTACAAGAAACGGTGCCTTGCAGTTCTTCATGTCCTCATTTAACCCCTTCGACTCTTCTATGCCCTTGTCTGTTCCGGATGCTGCAAGGTCAAGGTCACCATTAACTGTTCTCTCGTGATACTCCCGGGCATGCGCAGTTCTGGTGAGGTAAATTTCCACTGACGTCATGAGAAGTACGCTGAAGAAGACGGCACTTCCGGCCACGTAGAACGACGCGTTGTAGTTTCCGGTCACGTCATACAGATAACCTGACGATGCAGGAAAAATGTAAAATGTTACAGGTAAGTTACAGTAAACACAAATGATAATTTAAACAAAAACGATAGCAGGAGTGACAACTGAAACTGCAGTATGGGCAAAATAATTTTCAGTGTTCCCTGGTTACCAGACCTATTTAAGCTCCAGTGTCTCTTTGGTCCTCTTTGCAAATACAGCGAGGACGAAAGAGATTCGGAAGCTCAAATAGGCCCAGTAAGCAGCTATTTTAGCAATTGGAGACGTTGCACATCGCAAAGTAACTGCTATTTTTACTTGTATTACCCGGTACCTGCAATTGGAGGCCCGAACAGTGTGGGTAACCCTCCGAGTCCGTACACAATCCCCACTGCGCTGGCAAGCCGGCTCACTCCGCAGAACTCTGCCAGGAACACCGCTGTCTGGGTGTTGTAGCTGCCGATAGACAGCCCGAAACACAGGCAGCAAACCACCTACATGTACATGTAGCAAATGGCCAAAACACAATTACTCAAAACAACTGGATAAAATTTGAAAGCGTCAGACGTTTCGGACTCTATCCAGAGTCCTTTTTTTTTATATTCCAACATATAATCACAAGACGTGGTGACGGCATTTTATAACATATGTAAGAGGACTCCAGGAAGAGTAGTGGTTGTATTGGACGTTCCTTAAATAAACAAAGAAACAAACAAACCATGGCAGGGTACGTCTCCGCTACAGGCAAGCACAACAGGCTAAGGCTCAACGCCAGCAGGCACACGAGGTAGCCCCGCAGGCGAACAAACAACCCCAGGTCGGACAGCCAGCCGTACACTAGTCTAGATACTCCATCGGCAATGCCGATGACTGAGATCAGGAAAGCAGCCCTCTGTGCGTCTATCCCGGCATTTCTCGCGTGGGCAACGAGGTGCACATACGGGATGAAGGTACCGAAGAACAAGAAGACATTAGAAATTGCAAAGACAGCGAAAAACGGTATTTTGAAGAGGGAAAAGTTGAATAAGCGCGCACAGCATCCACTTTTGTCTTGAGGAGTTTTGGCAGTATGGTTATCGACATCCTCCTTGAGGTAGATTGGTCGTAGCAACGCTCCAAACACCAGCCCTTGCAGGGCCACCCCTGCGGTTATAAGTAGGGCTCCCCGCCAGCCATACTCGTCAATGATGTACTGGAAAAATGGCGGGAGAATGAAAGTACCAAGTCCAGTTCCTGTCACGCCAAGGCCGTTCGCTAGAGCCCATGAAGTACCTGCCTACCATGGTCAGGCAAGGTGTGTACATTAACGAGAAACCCACACCTGCAACGAAACGAGACGATTCCTTTGTAAGAAGTTAAAAAATTAACTTGTTACCCCTGACTCTGCCAAGGAGGTCTTGATATTAGAAGTCTATATAACTAGATACTAGTAATAAAGTCATTGTTACAGTGAATTCAGTGTAATTTTCTACCATCTAGACAAACACAATGAAAACAAAACCTCCAAATGGTACCATACCATAAAAACACATTTCTAATGGTGCAAAATATGCTAGTCTGGTTACCAACACTATTTTAGCTGCCAAGTCTCTTTCATCCTCTCTGTATATTCAATATGTGGTAGCGTGCGTAGTCCAGTGGTTAGCGATCCTGCCTCTGGACTAAGAGGTTGGGAGTTCAAATCCCGGCTGATGTCGCTCACCCGACATGCACGCTACTGTTTAGGGTCGCAGTCCTTCGGACGGGACATTAACCGTGGTCCACTGTTCATTGTGCTTGTCGAAAAGCGCTAGGGGATTTTCCCCGGTACAATGAACCTGTAAATACTGTACATAGCAAACAAACATAGCGTCTGTCTTCTCAGTCACGACCAGTGGAAGATTAGCTCTTCAGTGAGCTAAACTGGTTCGAGATCACTTTTTTTTTCACTTTCAATATGCTGGCTGGTGGTCTGTACAGTATTGGTAGACTCGACTATGTATCATACAGAAGTTCTGAGGTGTGATTTACCTGTGACAAATCCTGCAGTGACATACATGGCGGGTAAACTGGTGACGAAGAAACTTGAGAGGAGACCCGAGCCGGCCACCAGACTTCCCGCCATCACCACAGCTCTGCAGCCGAACACGTTTGTCAGGGCACCGGTAAATACCGCTGGGGAGGGGAAAAAAGGGGAATGGTACTAGCAAATGTGTACTTAGGTTAGGCATTTTGGCGGTCTCATGATTAGTAGTGATAATCTTAGTGATTTACTAAGATTTTAATACTGCAGTGTGGAAGGATTCAGACAAAACACCTTTTCAATTCAAGATGTCAACCTGGAATATTGTTTAAGAGATATATCTACTATCCATGTAACGTTACATCTACTAGAATATTCTACTATTAAACTGTCAACCTGGAAGGTTTGAACCACTTACACGGGGAAGGACCCCTGCTACTACTATACACTAATAAAGCACATAAAGCACTATACTGCAGCATATAAGTACAGAGTTAACTACTAAGTACTCGACCATTCCTTACTATTCTATTGTATTCTATATTCTATTCTATGCTATTCTATTGTAAGTTCCAGAGCTCTATTCTATTCTATTCTATTCTATTCTATTCTATTCTATTCTATTCTAAATTCCATGGTTAATATCCTGTCTTTTTTGTCTGATATACATGTACTATTATCATCATTATTATTATTACTTTTAATTGAAAAATTAGACAGCAAAATCTGCACTCCTTGTGGCCTGCGTAGCAGGCTTATAGAACTGGGGGTTTGGTGGTCTTCGGCTGTTTTCTGATTAGCCCAGTTCAAAAAACGGGGAGAATTCAACCAGGCCGGCTATGTTGTCTATATGCTATCAGAAAATAGCACATAAAAGCTCCCAAACACCCTGAAGATCCCCCAAACCTCCAGTTTTTGGCATGCTATGGAGGCTAACTCCTTACAGCCACACAAAGCGGTTGCTCCTTGTATAGAGCTGACCCAGGCTGTGTTTCTTGCGTCTTCTCCGAACGCCTCAAGAAAGTACGGGAAGAAGACGCCGAATGACTTGGCGACACCGACAACACTGAAGTGGCCGAGGAAGCTGCTGAGGACGACGAACCAGCCCCAACCGCCATCTGGTGGCTCCTCGCGGTACTGCACATGCTTCATCACAGTTCTCTGGTTTCCTTGTTGCCCATTAAATCTGTATAAACAAGGAGGTTAAATACAAGTTTCTTGGTATAAAAGAAAATGGCAATGGCTAGTTGAATTTAAGTACTAGTTAATTGTCATGCGTCACACATCTATTAGTTACACAAACATGTTCGCATGCACAAACGCACACACACACAAACACACACGCACACACACACACACAAACACACACACATAGAGTACCCATACACACACACACACAAACACACACATATCGTTACACATACATAGACGATCTGTAAAAGTTTTGCATACAATTTTCTTGCCATGTCTTACATATACAATATCATTTAAATGTTCACAGCAAGTCGGACTTTAGACATTTGACCCTGTCCCTTTTACTTAATAACTAGTAACGTTATACGGGCCCGTTACTAGTATAACGGTACACATCCAAGGCCACTCAGAGTGAAATTTGGCCGAACTAGCGAAGATAAATTTTAAAAGAAAGCTATACCTTCTATTGTGGGTGTTGTTCCATATTTTTCTGAAAGATGACAACGAAAGTCGGCGGATTTGCAAGGCTTCACGTTCAAAGTTGCCTGTTGTTGTTGCTTTCACCTCCTGATGACCCACTTTGACCCCTAAGACTGCAAGAAAACGCACCTACAATGCACAAACAAAAGTTCAAAGAAAACAGCAAACGATACTTTCTCGTTATAATGCACAGCATAAATATTTCATAGTAAAATAAATACAGCAAAAATTACCTTTGAGTTGAAATGTTGCTTATTTGTGGTTAATACCTGAACATTTACTTTTTGGTTTGATGCCCTCAATTAAGGGATAAACCATATTTGTTATATCTCGGTCTATTTCATTCTTGTACTTAACAGAACTTAATAGATTCAATTTGTTGATCGTTGAGATATTCTTTGTATTAGTATTACACATTGTAATAGCCGTTATATGGAACACGTTGAAAGGTTTATATTAAAATACTACATAGATACTACTGATATGTAACGAGTCACCCCCAATCTTGCCCAAACAAAATGGCGGACCCGAACCGTTCTGTTGTTGTTACCGATGGTTCAAACGACGGTAGCGCCGTTTCTGGGGCCGCTGCGGGCGTACAAAGCTCACCAAAGACGGAGAAAGGAGCAGGGTGAGTTTGTGTAGACTTTGGACATGTTTTGTTGATCATAGAAGCCGTTTTGTGGCCTCAAAATACGGCAAAGTTGCAAGCCCGCCAGAAATAAATTCACTTCACAAGTTGATAGATCTCGAGTCTTTTTCTCGTTATCTTGATGCATATTTACCTCACTAGTGTACTCCCACAAATTTACCTGACTTGTATGAATGTTCATAATACTTGGTGGCTCAAAGTTCTCTTGAGTTCTGTAGCTTTTAGGAAAGAATACCTTGATTATTTATATCTCGTATTCACAAAGCCTAACGTGGTTGCCTGTTATATAGTATGATTCGCTAGAGGGCACCTATGATAAGTGTGTGATTGTTGGCAATGTTGCGGCTTCAATTTTCTTAGTGTGAGAGGAAAAGGAGAGACAGAGAAAAAATTCAATTGTAATGTTAGTTGTTACTTTTCTTTTAGTGTAATCACAAGTGTTATTCATCGTAAGGTACTCTCCAGAAATACCTGGGAATCGTACCTGTGACTTACTGTATCGGTCTCACGTCCACTCAACCCTTCAAAGGATCTTACATCCCGCCAACCTGCCCTTTTCCCTCCATGACACTCACTCACTCACTCACTCACTCACTCACTCACTCACTCACTCACTCACTCACTCACTCACTCACTCACTCACTCACTTGAACTCACTCACTTGAACTCACTCACTAACTCACTCACAAACTCACTCAGTCACTTATCACTCACTCACTCACACTCACTCACGCATTCACATACTCACACTCACTCACTCACATACTCCCTCACACACTCACTCACTCATTCTGTCATTCATTTATTTCTTCCCCAGAACTGACCCAGGTAAGATGGACCAGCAGACTCTTGCCGCCGTCTTACAGTTCCTTAAGAACAACAACCTTAAGGAGGCAGAGGCAGCCTTAAGACAGGAGGCCAAGCTGCCGGACGGGAGCGGAGACTCCTCGGGGTCATCAAGGGTCGCGACGAGCGGGGAGGTGTCGTCAGTTCTGTCAGCTTACGAGAGCGAAGGGGATCTAGCGAGGTATGGTGTGCTTAGAACTGAATGATTGGGCATGGCACTGTGGTAACAACTGTAAGGTACATGTTTGTACTTGTAAATCATTGTAAAAGGAAAAGTTGTTAATACATGTAGTACTGTTTTATTCTTATCACTTTACATGTAGACTAAAGGTCTGTATGTGTATGTTCTTGTGCTATATACACAATGTACGTACAGTCAAAACTTCCCACTATTGGGACAGTCAATAAAATCTGATCTATATTATTAACATGTGGTCACTATAATGTATAGATAGTACTAGTCAAACTCAAAAAGAAAAACTATCAAAATGACCACCAAAAGTGGTACAATGTCCAGGTGGTTGTAGAGGTTGTCAGATTTGACTGTATCTGTAGTATTATGTACTACTAGTATATCATATATGTTGGAATATTTTTCCCAACTATCCCAGGTACTGTGAGTACTACAGTTCTCTCAGCTCCTTTATCGAATCGTCCCTGGACGCTCACAAACATGAACTGGGCTGCCTGCTGTACCCTGTGTTTATACACATGTATCTGCAGCTGGTCTATAACAAACACGAGAAGGAAGCTCAGAAATTCTTCAACAGGTGGGTAGTAGACTTTCTTTACTTGCTTGAAAAGTCTTGGTGATCTTAATTTTGAAATTTATGTTGCTGGGATGTGATTGTTGATAACAGACATGCTCCATGTTTACAGTTAAAACCTTTGTTCCAACACAAAAAAATTCACCTAGAGCTTTTGACCAGTCACTCTGGTCTTCCTCAGTAGACTGACCCAGATACCTTTGACCCAGTGTTGACGTCACACTTCTATGAAGCCACGTGACAAGCTTCACTGGGTCAGTCTGCTGAGGAAGACCAGAGTGACAGACTGGTCGAAAGCTCTAGGTGAGAGAACTTTTTGTGTTGGACCAAAAGTTTTAACTTTCAACATGTAACTACCAACACAGATGAACTTTTATGAAGACAGGCATGTTCATTATTATATTGTATACATGTATTTGTTTTCAAGTACATGTATTGACACATTTGTTATGATTTCTCTAGGTTCAGTGTGGAACAGGAAGACTGGCATCAAGAGGACCTTAGAACTCTGTCAACAGGTTAGTCTCTGTCTGGGGTTATGGGTTGTTTGCATGTTGTTTTTATGCCATGGGTGAACAAATACAAGATACATTATGTATATCACTCCATCACCATCCCCATGCACAAAACTAACTGCTCCGTGACAAATTTCAGATCATTTGGCTGCAGTGCATCCATTTAAGTTTTTAACCAAATAGCAGGAGAAAAAGAAACATTGGAAAAACAATATATTTCACTCCTATATGTGTATGTGTGGTATGAGTGAAATTTAAAGATAGGGAGAGGACACAGGCTGTATTTCCTGGCAAATTTGGATCATCAACAGTTTTGTTCCCTTCGGTGAAGAATTGGGAAATGCTGAGCAGGTGGACACGTTCCCTGGGACTCGTTTGGGCAAGCAAATGCATCATATTTCACCCCATCTTCCTCCACATACACATTTTTGCTTGTTTCAGTGAAACCCGTGAGCAGATGGAGGTTAATGACCTGATAAACACCTTCCTCTGACTCGTATGGACAAGCAAATGCAGCATATTTCACCCCATCTCCCTCCACATCCATGCCAAATTAAATTGGGAAATGCTGACATTTTTTTACTTTTGTTCCAGTGAAGACCCGTGAACAGATGGAGGTTAATGACCTGATGGACACATTTTGCGGCACTCATATGGGCAAACAAATACAGCCTATTTCACTCCATCTCTCTCCACATACACAAAATGGACTGCTCCATACCTCCATGCCAAATTAAATTGGGGAATGCTGACATTTTTGGCATTTTTGCTTGTTTCAGTGAAAACCCGTGAGCAGATGGAGGTTAATGACCTTATGGACACGTTCCGGTCCAGTAAGTTCGTTCTGCGGATGTCGCGTGACTCGTACCAGTCCCTGCGGCGGTACCTGAAGCAGCACGACCACCGAGAGCTCCTCTCCATCCTGCAGGACCACCTCTTCATAGACGTGTTCGACGGCGTGCCAAGAAACAGGGAACAGGTGAGGAGTCGTGTAGTCACTCTTTTGACTCACCTTTGATATGATAATCATGTTTTTAAATTGTTTATTCCAAGGCACATTTATGTTACATACTGTAATTCACTTTGTCTTCGATTGCATCTTCTGAGTAGCAAGTGCAGGGAGGGAGAGGATATGAAAGACAAATGATTTACATGTATGTTGATATATTATGATATAACATGATGTGATAAGTTCACAGCACAGAATTGGCCATGAACAGTGAGCAGTATACTAGCCAGGTGTAAACCTCTATTCTAACTGATTGATGATGTTTGTTAAAACAAGTGTCTTTGCTGTTACAGCCATATTTACTGAAGAAACAGAAAGGATGATCTTTTAAATACCTCCGTTCATTCATTGGCTTATTAAATACACATACAAAATGTGTATTCTCAGGTCCAGGCGACATCAGGTGCTATGATGGGGGAGGCCAGGAGGGATGCTAACAAGGTCAAGGTTCTGTATGGACTACCCAAGGTAAGAAACGTCATTTCTCTGGCCATCAGTATAGTAGTACTACTCTGTATTTATATGTGTATATTGTTAGCTGGTATAACTGCCTTTTGGCGTAACACACCATCCATGCAGGCACATTACAAAGACCTCAACACTTTTCAGACTTCATTAATGACTGGATCATTATCTACATCTAACTTCTAAGTCTACTGAAAGGTAGCTTAATACTTTTCTGCTTGAGACTGCTTTTAAAAACCTACATGTAGCGTTACCGGTATATCAATTTCTGTTGATAAGTGTACGTTACTAAACATCCGCAATATTTATATTACTGCATGTACAATAGATGTACTATACGTCATGTACTTGGTTTATCATAATAATTAATATGCTAACTAATATATAATGCCAAAGAAGCATTTTACAATGCAGCATATCTTCAATCAATCAATCAATCAATCAATCAATCAATCAATCAAATGGTTTATTTGTGAAAACAAAACAAGACCTAGTAGCCATTGGCTAAATTATGTCTTGCTGTACAATTTGATTTCTTGACATATTTAGCATAACACATTAAAATTGCTAAGTTATTCAATAATAAAATCCATGTCATTATACATCAAATACCTAAAAATAACAGTTTCAATTTCAAAATTAAAACTAACAATTACAGACATATATGAAATACTAACACAATAATATACAAAATAAAAAATAAGACTAGAGGACAGACTTACCACCCTAGAAGTACGATACACATTATTTGGAGGAATTCAATATGCGGACCAGGTATGGTACTGGAGAGTTCTTATATCTGTTGGTCCTGTATTTAGTCCTGTATCTTAGAACAAAAATCTGTTAACTGCTGGAATGTACCTATGATATATTTTATTTATACCAAACTTTGTGCAGCACCTTGAGACAACATTGTCATTGTTTTGAAATGTACAACAGAAACAATCTATACAAAGTCATGACATATTATAGGAATGTATGTACTTAAAAAGACCTTAGTGTCCGAGGGAACAATATGTACTGTACTCTGTGCTTAAAAATGTAACATGAAAGGTAGAAATGTATATGTCTAAACAAAGGGCATGTACATTAAACTGTATTACATGTACAAAATGTATGTTCCTCAGGAATTACTAGTAATTGAACTAAGCACACTGCACCATGCTTTAAACATATAGCTACAATGCAAGAGTGAAATATCTAACAGAACTATGCAAACAGGTTTGGGTCCCTCAAGCTCAAGGAATGATGCATGTATACAAATGTACATACCATGTGTACATGTACATGTGCTGTCACTGCCTTACAAGTTAAGACTTTTCTCTAATCTTTTAAAGAAATTTGGATTATCTCCTTGAAGAGGGGTAAACGTCTTTAGTTCGATTGGTAACTTGTCACCAGTGAAGCCTTTACGTAACACAGGAATCACTCTTCCAATCAAATTCTTGTCCAATTTTTCTACTACCGCTGTCTGGTAGCCTATCTTAAACCATTCATCTGAAATTGTGGAAGGTGAGTACACTATTATAATGTTTCTGCTATTTTCTATCCCAATGCTTAGGTACTGAAACACACTGTCACCTCCAATGTCATCTCTACATGGAAAGTAGCCTTCTAGCTTTTTTTGTTCCAGTTTATTGACAATATCTTTCTCTGTCCAAGACTCGTCAGCTTTGGTGCAGAGTATGCCAAAGTCGTATTTCTTTCCATCCACCTCACTGATGTCTGAATTGCCTGCAAGATGGGGGGAAAGAATCTGATATGATTACAACGTTGTGATTGGTCAAGATGGAAGTGAAGTGCTTTGTTTCTTATTACACCTGCGTCAGATGTTCTATTTCATGAAATACCTGGTGGCATATCATTTATTTAAACTAACACAGTGTGGTTAGAAAGGAAACAAAAGTTTGCTATCACTATTATGATGGTATAACTTGACAATCCAGACTGTTTTTCTTAGAATTATCAAATAAATTACAGCCTACACCAAGAATTGTGTTGTATCACTTTTCTATTCATTTCTTACAAGCATAAAATTCACTCTTAACTGTAAAGTAATACTAACATGTCCTAGGGGTCAGTTTATTTATCAGAACTCATTACCACAGGTTTGAATATTCACCTGTGGTTGAATATAATATGACTTTATCTTTTTTTTTTGTATTTTGGAATGAAGAAACTGTAACATGGCTTACCTGTACCAGAACTACGTGGCTGTTGAATTGTAGCTTCCACACTGCTTGGCTGTCCCACGACATTTCCCTGTTCGGTTTCACTATCACCGAGTGAGATTCCACTATCACTGAGTGTGAGACTCCTGACTCCGTCTGCAACCTGCTCATCTGTGTTTGGATTGTCTTGGATCGGTGTCTTGTCTTCTTGGTTGCCCTCAGTATCAGACAATCTAGACTGTTTTTCCACTTCTGTGATGATGGCTTTTTGCCCGTCCAGGATGTCTTTCATGCCTTCTTCAATTTTTTTTTCCAGGCTTCCCAGTGTCTCCAAGACTTCATTATGCTGAGCAGTGAGCAAGTCTTTCACTTCATTTTCTTCTTTGTGGAGCTTTTCAAATTTCTCCTGGTACGTCTTGGCCATTTTAGGATCAATAGTTTCGGATTTTCTTTTTTGGATTTGATCCTTGTCTCCTCCCAGTCCTATCAGGATGTCAGCCAGCTCCTTCCATAACTTCTTAAACTTTGTGTTAGACAAGGCTGTGTCCGTGATGTGCCCATAGTTCCTGTTTCTGAATAGTCTTAGTCTGATGATCCAGGCTATGGGAGATTTGTCCCCTTCTGGAGGTTCTTTGTTCCAGCCCGTTTTTGGTGGTTTAACGTTACAAAGTATCCCCAGCAGAAGACTCAGAAGGGCAATGTCAAAGTGTTCTGAACTGTCAGCAGCTGTTCCAGGTGATGGGTACACCGTTTTCTGCTGATCAAAATTCAAAATTCCCAACACAGGATCTGTGAAGTTTTGTCTATTTCTCCTCAGCTGCTCCTGGAAATTTGGAGGCTTCATTCTGCTCACTTCCTGGTCGAACACCTTTCTCACCAGTTTAGTGCCTTCATCAATAAGCAGAGCCTGTAGCCTTGCCCCATTGGCTGTTTCTGGGGTGTACGGGTCTCCTCCTGTGGCCATCTTCAGTTTTTATGAAATTCTAAAGAGAAAGCAAATGTGCAATTTGAGAAACATTAGCTCAAAATCAGTTCTAGTCCAAACATGGGGAAAGGGCTACAATAAAGTTATGTACTGTCTTTAACACAATTACTGAGCCAACAAAAATTTACTTACCTGTCTCTGAAACTACTATTACTTCATCTTACACTACGGTAACTTAAAACGCATACTTTGTGGTTCATTAATCGTGGAGCTAGCATTGAACTTTTAGTACCATATGGCATGGAAAAGTACTGGCGTCTGGACTGTACCTTTATGAATTGGGAAGGCAACTGTACATGCCTACATTGAAAAGAAGTACATGTACACACAGGTAGAGTCATGAAAAGAGATAAATCTGTTCCCCCCTGGCTTGAATTATGCCCTCAGATACATTATATTATGTAAGAATCCAGTAAAATTTAAGTGCAAATATTATTCACGCCCCTATGTTTCAATGGTCCCCTCCCTAACCAGTTTGAACAGGTTTGAGGGACCTGTTGATTGCACAATGTTATGCAAGCAAGTTGGCACCAAGCCAAACATGACCCTTTGTTCTGCTGGTCAGGCAAGGACCCATAGGTAACCCAAAACAATGCCTGATTTTGTGTATGTCTATACAAAGGGTGGTCAGAAAATTGAATTTCTGGGTCTCATACAATTCACACGAATGCAGTATATTAAAAGTAAATTAAAACAGACTTCCTAAACTCCCCCCCCCCAAATATCTCGTGTATATATTATAGTATGAGATATTGGGGGGGGGGGAGAACCTCCTTGGTTGAGGGGGAAGGATATCAAATTTAAAGGAAGCAAAAGGACTATAAACAAAGAAGGGGAAAGCAGGAAATGTCTTGCTGATGAAAACGAGATGGCAAAACTTAGCAAGAATTGTCATTGTATTGTTTAATGTTACTTGTAATAGGCATTCGTCGGTCTTAAAAGACCACGAAGTACTTAGGAGTCTGATATATCAATTTACCAATTGATGACAATGATAAGGGTGGGGGAGGAAGGAAGTTACATGTAGCACACTTTGTAGGTTGTTAACCGAAGTTTATTTTGTTCCCAGGAGCCAGACATCAATGTTCCCCTGAAAGACAATGATAAGGGTGACCAGACTTAACCATAAGGAAGTTACATGTAGCATAGGTTATCATATGTGTTAACCGAAGTTTATGTTGTACTTCAGGAGCCGGACATCAACGTTCCCCTGGATGACGATGATGAGGGTGGGGACGGGGAGGACAAACCTAAGAAGAAGAAACAGAAGAAAGACCTGCTGCTCAACAAGAACAAGAAAGCCGACCCCAACGCACCCCCTCCCAGTCGCATACCGCTACCGGAGCTAAAGGGTAGGATTCTGTTACTCATAATAAATGTTAGCATCACTGTACAATTAGACAATAATATGTAAATCACTTAGAAATCAGCTACAGGGATCTCTTTCAATTGTAACTTTATGCATGTATGCTGTAACAGATGAAAAGGACATTAAACAAAGTACAACACATTTCTTTCTAGATTGTAGATGTCGGACCCTTATTGAATATTCGCCTACAAATGTATTTGACATGTGAATTTAAAAAACTTCATTGATTGTGAAGAAAGAACATTGCTATACAGTATTATGTAGTTTGTAAGCCACTGTACTGAAGACAAAGTGCTCTAGTATACAAGAAAGGGAATTATCTTACTTTTTATTTGTTAGAGATCCTCTAGGCTTTTTAAATTTCAAACTCATCAATTATGCTATACAGATTTGACTACATTATCAGACTGTTTAACAATCCTTTCCTCCACCCCAGATGCAGACAAGCTGGAGAAAGTTCTGAGCTGGAAGGAGGGTCTGAAGCGAGTACCGCTCGGGAGGGACAACCTGCCTTCCATCTGTTTCTACACGCTGGCCAACGCCTTCCAGAACGTGTCAGCTGTAGGGATATCTGAGGACTCAAGCCTACTGGCTGCAGGTTAGAGTTAGGACAGTTGTGTACAGTTTAACTTAGGGTTAGGTTGGGGTTGGGGTTAGGGTTAGGGGTAGGGGTAGGTTAGGGTTCGGGTTAGCGTTAGGGTTGGGGTTAGGGTTGGGGAAAGGGCTAGGGCTAGGGCTAGGGCTAGGGCTAGGGCTAGGGCTAGGGCTAGGGCTAGGGCTAGGGCTAGGGCTTAGGGGCTAGGGCTTAGGGGCTAGGGCTAGGGCTAGGGTGAAGTATACATGTATTTACACATTATGAATCCCTGTGCAGGATTTGAGGACTGTAAGTGTGTGTGTGTGGAGTCTGTCCCCCCAGCGGCTGCGCACCATGCGCGGGGCCTCGGAGCTGGTTAGGGTTAGGGTTAGGTTAGTGTAACACCTGCTAGTGAAACTTACATGTACATCTAATCCCTGCTCAGGATTTGAGGACTGTAATGTGCGAGTGTGGAGCCTGTCCCCCCAGCGTCTCCGCACCATGCGCGGTGCCTCGGAGCTGGACCAGCTGGACAAGGAGGCGGACGATATCGTGGAGAGGATGATGGACGAGAAGTCAGCGGCAGACTCATGGCTCCTGCACGGACACACCGGGCCGGTCTACGCGACCAGTTTCAGCCCCGACAGGGAACAGCTACTCACGTCGTCAGAGGACGGGACTGTCAGGCTGTGGAGCCTCCATACATACAGTAACTTGGTATGTAAGGGCTTGTTAACCACCTTACATATAATAATAATTATATATACTAACTTAAACATAAGGTATGTAAGGCCAAGTTTTTGCTAAGGCACCAACCCCCATAACATGGGTTGTCAGAATACACTCAACCTGCACAAACTTACTGACAGTAACTTTGTATGTCAGGGCTTGTTTTAACCAACTTCACCAAAAATAATTGAAAAATTGTGGGTATTCTCATATTGTTATATTTGTGTTTTGAGGATACTTAATATCATACTAAGCATGCTGCTTTCTACCCAATCCTCAGAAAGCAAATGTGAATGGAATAAAACAAAGTTTTTGTTTCTTCCAAGGTGGTGTACAAAGGGCACAACTACCCGGTGTGGGACGTCCAGTTCAGCCCGACGGGGTACTACTTCGTGTCGGGGGGTCACGATCGCGTGGCTCGGCTCTGGGGCACCGACCAGTTCCAGCCCATCCGGATGTTCGTGGGCCACTATTCCGACGTGACCTGCATCCAGTACCACCCCAACTCCAACTACGTCGCCACCGGGTCCAGCGATCGCACTGTCCGCCTCTGGGACGTCCTGAACGGAAACTGTGTACGCGTGATGACAGGACACAAGGCAAGTTGTTTCAAACATTATGGATGACATCCACGCGCGCATTGATTTTCGCCTGTACTAAAAAAAAATCTCCAGGTTCTCCCCCGAGGCTCTGTGCTACAATGTATGTGCTGCAATTCACAATACCAGCTTTGTATTCCTGTGGTTTAGCTGCATTTTATTTTGGCTGGACTTTTTTTTTTCATTTGCCCGAAACGCAGTCACTGGTTTGGGTGTCTTCAGAGGATGTCATCCATAAAATTAACTCAGTGTGGCCTTACAGGAGTTTGTATGTACTTGTATGGTCCGAAATTAATAAACCATTCAGCTTTGTATTCCTGTGGTTTAGCTGCATTTTTTTTTAGCTGGACTTTTTTTCATTTGCGATCTTCAAAGGATGTCATCCATAAAATAAGCCCGTGTGGCCTAACAGGCTTTTGTATGTACAGTACTTGTATGGTACAAAATTAATAAACCATTCTCTCTCTCTTTTTCAAGGCGGCGGTCCACACGCTAGCCTGGTCACCCGACGGACGTTATCTAGCCTCCGCAGGTGTGGATAAAAACGTCCTGCTCTGGGACATCGCGTACGGTCGGCTTCTAGCAGAAATGAAAGGACACACCGACCCTGTCTACTCTCTTTGCTTCAGTAGGGAGGGTACCATACTAGCCTCCGGTGGCATCGACAACACTGTTAAGATATGGGACGTTCAGAAGGTTTTTGAGGAGATCGCAGGTTCGGACGATTTGACAAGTCTAGACCGGGCTTCGTTGGTGGAGGTTGGGCCGCTGCTGTTGGGCTCGTTTGCGACTAAAGCCACACCGGTTTTGAAGCTGCATTTCACACACAGGAACTTACTGCTGGGTTGTGGGAGATACCAGCATAACTAGGACTGGAGGGGGGGGTGATAGCTGAAGACATTCCATGAACTTATTTTCTTGTATTGTATATTATGTACATGTACATTGTATGGCCTCCTGTCAATATTGACCATGGTAAAATCCTAATTGATAACAGCCCTACAGCTCTGGCAGTCCTATATGAGAATGACAGTCTCTGCCACATACATTTGTACATGTACATGTAAGGCACATCTGTAAGCTGACTCAATATTAAATGCATTCATTTTTGCAATTAATTCACCTGTGACTCAATTAATGTGAAGGGCTCACCAGCAAACTGTGTCAAGTGTCCTAACTTTACAGATAGAAAGTCAGCAATCAACTCTGGGAATATGATGTGTACGTAATATGATTGTAAATAAATGGAAGATATTAATGGATTACAAAACACAACACAAAAGGTGGGGATTTACATGTAGTTTAGGTGACCAACAACTGACGGGATTCAAACCCCTAACCATCTAGTCCAAGCATCATAGCTGTAAAATAAAACAACACAAATCTGTTAATTTCAACCTGTTTTATTATTCGTTGTTTCCTTTATTTCAAATCACCTCGCTGCGCGCAAGGGAGATTTTTCCTCTAAAAATACACTTATTGTGCTAGTCTGGCTACTTCCCCACCTTAAACTCAGCTTCAACTTAAGGCTAAGCCTCAACTTCTCACTACAAAATAATCTGGGACGAAACTCTTCCGGCTAAATCATTGTTTTATACAGAACACACATAACAATAATATATATACAAATTGTCATTATACAATAATAATAAGATGATGTCTTTGTCACGCTGTCTGAAGTAAGGGACTCTATATAGAAAACTTAAGGGAATCATATAGAATTAAGAATGTTGACATGAAAATACTAAATATGTAAACCAACTGCAAGCACTTTTTGGTGTGAAGATGAGAATTTTACATTGATGAGTCATATAAAAACATTACAAGATAATTATTACAAAGATACATAAAGTAAACTGTTTGGACAATGAATCAAAACTGACAAAATGTAGGACAATTTAAGGAAAAAACCATCAATGGAAAACCATAGTAACAAAGTCAATTTGAGCTAGAACTATCCAGCAATGAAATAGCCTATGCATAAGTGCCATGTAATAAGGTTTACAAAATACAGGCATTAAGTACTACAGAACACGAAAGAAATGAATACTAAAAGGAAAATAAATATGACACTATGTTCAGCACTAAATGCAAAATATACATTGCTCCTGCCATACACAGTTAATCATCTAACTTCATTCATGTCTCCAAAAGGTATGAAATGCTTACAAGAAACCTTGTTTAAAACAATGCAAATGCAGACGTGCTACAACCAGGCCCCACTGCATGTCTGCAAAGCTGGCGTTTCGTGCCAAAGAGTACAGAAAAACAGACTTGAGTATGTAACTGTTCTTTAGAACCGAGCTTGCTCCCAGCTTATGTACATGTACAACATTAGAAAGTCAAGTTTTTTGACCCCAGGATAGGATTCTTATATCGCACGTTTTTCATAGCGCTGCTTGCCATATTGCAAAAAGGTAGCACGGATATTTGGGAGCTCTACAGACATCCTTTTACAAATTAAGACTGGCCTTGCAAGGCCACTCAGCTTTTTCGAGCCCCCTCTACAAAGCGTATCCACAGTGACTCACGTGATCTTCATTTTCATACCAATCAAAAAGATTTTCATTCAATGAAGACAGAAGAGGGTTTTGAAGCCACAAAATGCTGCCTACCATATTGGTGTCTCCTTGCATTTCAGTGAATCGTAGCTAAAAATACATCTGAAAAAGCTTTCAATCTTTCTCCTGTTGTTCTATATATACTAAGGGCACTCTTCTGAAGATTTCTGGATGTCTTTGTTGTGAAGCTTTCAAAAGCAGTACTAGTTGTAAGTATCGATTGTATATAAGAAGGCCATGCCAATGCAATTATTTGGTTAACATATTTTAACAAAATATGCTTCACTAGCAAAATGCAATATAAACAAAGCCTAGGGTCCAGGATAATGCCATTGTGCACCCAGTTTTATAGAGTGAATACAGTCATATTCAAGTTTTCTTCTTGCCCTCTACTTTCATGATGTCTTAGCTGCTAGCTATATTTTCTCCTCAAAATGTGTGAGTCTAAGACATGGAAATTACATGTAATTAGAGTGGCTTTAAAAGCTATGAGCTATGATTCACTGATAACAAAACAGGACACCAACACAGCAGCGAGAGCTAACTCCATGCCAACGTCACGCGAGCGAGCGCGTCGTGAATATCTAACCGTAACCATAGCGGCGACCCCGTAACCATAGCGATGACCCCGTGTATTATACGCCCTGTGGCGCGGGCTGGAGCTCGCGGATCTGTTTGATGAGGTAGGCCTTCTCGTCGTTGAACTGTTCATCCTCGGTACGGTCGGTGTGGAACCCCGTCAGGAACTCCACCAGCTTGGCCTGGTTCTTCAGCAGGATGTCCAGGATGGGCTTGCTCTTGTTCGGGTTGGCAACAAACACCTGGAAACATACCACAAGAAATTCTTTGTTTACCTCACAAAAACATCAGCAGCTAGTGTAATGAATAAGACTTGGGAGAAACAGGAAAAATCCTCTCTCCTTCCAGTTCACACATGCAAAAAGATTTCAATTTTGCCTGCTTCATCAAATTAAGAAAAGAATGCAGAGGACTACAATGTATCTTGTTACTCTGGTCAATGTGTTATAATTGTTTATAGACCTATAACTTACTAGTTGCTCACACACAAACTGAATGCTCCTGCATTCATGTGTAACTCTGTAAATTAAGTAACTAACCAATTACCAAATTAACTAGCTAGTTTTGTAACTAACCAGTCAGTAACCGATCTCACCTTGAAGACATGGAAAGCCTCGAACTGAATGTTCCTGCTCTTGTCCCTGAGTAACTCAGTTAACTTAGTAACTAACCAGTTAACTTAGTAACTAACCAGTTAACCGGTCTCACCTTGAAGACATGGAAAGCCTCAAACTGAATGTTCCTGCTCTTGTCCCTGAGCAGGTTCATCATGAGTTTGAGGTTGTCTGCGTTACTGATGTATTTGGTCATGGTGGTGAAGTTATGCCGGTCCAGCAACAACTCTCCCAGCAACTTCAGAGACTGCCTCTTGGTCACATAGTTTTCTGATGTTAGCAACTGCTGATAGTGCCCAAATACCTGCAGAAACAAGAAATATTTATATAAATCTGAAGCACATGCATGTGCATCTACCAGTGTAGTACTGTAACTCTCCCAGCAACTTCAGGGACTGCCTCTTGGTCACGTAGTTCTCTGATGTTAGCAACTGCTGATAGTGACCAAAAACCTACAAATACAAGAATTATGTAAGTAAATCTGAAGTACATGTGCATGTATGTGTATCTAGCAGTGTAGTACAGTAACTCCCACAGCAGTTTTAGTGACTGCCTCTTGGTCACGCAATTCACTGATTATGTTAGCAACTGCTGATAGTGCCCAAAAACCTAAAGACACAACAATTACTTATGTAAATCTGAAGCACATGCATGTGTAACTGCCAGTTTAGTACTGAATCTCAGTAGTTCCAGCAACTGCCTCTTGGTCACATAACTCACATTGTCCTCTGAAAACATTAGCAACTACTGGTGGTGGCCCAAAACCTGCTAAAGAAGATAGAATTCAAAAAGAGATTTTTAAACCAAAGGCCTACAAATTTCATAGAGTGCACACATGCACAGCTAACTTAAATGTAATAGTACATAACATGGGCCTCAGACTGGGTTGGGAAGTACATACCTTGTCGTAATTCTGTTCCAAGAACTCCGCACACAAGATTTTGTGTTTTGTCAGAAGGTCCTGAAAAAGGCAAACAGAACACAATCAATGAAGGTACAGTACTGTATCTTTTGATCAAGAAAGCACATAACAATCATACATGTATGTGTAGAGGTGGTCACTATTACTTCAGGTTTGACTGTACTTTTCGAAAAAAACGAGATGATCTATACCTTGAATGTAGCGAAAGCGTCGGAGGCCAGGTCGAAGGTTGACATCTCCACGTATCTGAAGAAGTCGTAGAACTGGTTGGAGTACAGCATGATCTTGGCGAGGGCCTCGTGCCTCACACACTCTCTCAGCATGATGCCGCAGTTTAGAGCAATCTCAGGGGTCTCGTAGCTGTGGGGAGGGAAAAACAAAAACACTCTTAAGCTTATGTGCCCTCTGGTAGAACATTCAGGAACTGCAGTAACTCTCAGCATGATACCACAGTAAAGCAGTGAAGGGCCCTCTGGCAGAAAATGCAGAAACTGCAACATAGAAATACTCAAACATACACCAGCTGACACAGCAAAAAACAAAAGTTTATTTTGCTTGGAAAATGAAAACTGTACATCTTCAGGTAATTGATTTGAAGAAATATTGATTGATTGGAACAAATATTGATTGATTGATTGATTGATTGATTGATCGGTTTATTGATCGATAGGTAATAATTACTCACCCCTTCATGAGAGTGAAGAGGATCTCCTGTCTGGTACAGATGTACTCGACTGTAGGAGACCTGGTCCCAATCTGTCTTCTCAAGATGTTACTGAAGATCTGTGCAACGTCCTTCTTACCCTGCAAGGAACAGAGAAAACACTTCTTAAGATCATGGCATTTCACCTTAACCTTTAGCTCACATTTTGCTACCGATTCTGTACTGTATTATGGGGTTAGGCAGCAAGGAGTGGGATAGGACAAACTTAAAAGAGCATGGATGATAGTGTTGTATAGTTAATCTACATCAATTTCTTTCCTTTGTTCTTGGTCTTGGACATTTGAAAATTAAAGTCACAAGTTGCAAATGTAGCATTCAAGAGAACAACATCAAAACAGAGGGCTGAGAAGAAAAGACCATCTCTTTACCTCTTTATTCACTCCCTGAAACTGTTTGTACCAAGGTACAGACTCTTCCATACACAACTGATTTTCTCTCCATATTCCAGTCTTTTCTTTATTAATCTCAGACCCAACATCTTCATATGGTAGTCCCTTGGATTACAAATTAATGTATTTTCCCCATTAACCCAAGCATAAGACTCCAGTCTATAGTGGCCACCTTTGACAGGAGACCATTTCTTCCTGGTCCCCTGAGTAGCCACTATTGACAGTATTTCCATCCCCATGATGTAAAAGTTCCCAGGAGAGTTAGAGGCAGCCAGTCTGTCTGGCTCTTGATTTTAGTAGGTCAGCGTTGCTACGTTAGCTAGCCCTGATCTCAATTTTCCGCATGTACTAAAAACCATTAATAATTCACACCAGCTACAAAACTGATGATGCACGGAAAACACTACAGAGCACCTTAAACTCATTTACAACGGTTTCAGCCACTTAATAATTTTGCAGCACGGTTGAAAATCAAGACTTTGTGGTGTCTTCAAAGATACCATGAAATCTTGATTGAGTTCCTGGCTAAAAGAGCAATGCAATGCAAGACAAAGCACCTACACGCTCACAATGTTAAATTCATAAACTGTACTTCAAGTTCAAAATTTGCTCAGTTCTTGAAGGGTTACTAGTAGTTGGTTTAACTTAGTGTACAATAGGGATCTGTATGCTCTGAGTCTGAGAATCCTGTGACCTTTAAATAATCTTTGAAATTACAAAAAAATATCATTTAGATTCTTATCTAAAAATCTGCCTCCAACCAACTCAACTTGAAGTCAATTTTGTGTAGAATGTTGATAAGAGTTACTGGGTATGATCATATCTGAGACTAGTTGTACATTTCCTGGTCCAGCTGAGCTATTGTTTTTTGGGGGGGTAATACACTCTAGCCCCCTAACTATTCATACCCCCTGGCCTTTCTTCTGAAAACTCACTTCGAAGTCTACTTTATGTTTAATGTATACATCTTTTCTTGGGGGGGCTTCTGGCCCACTAGCTAATAATTACATACCCCTTCTTATCTAAAATGCAGTCCCCTAACTCACCTACATTGTAACTCACCGTCAATTTTGTGGAGGTTGTTGATGAGTGTGATGATCGTTAAGTTAAAGTTGTACATTTCTTGGTCCAGTTGAGCCATTGTTTTGAGCCCTTGCTAACTTTTCAGGGTCTTTATAATTGTTATTAACTCACCTCGAAGTCAATTTTGTGTAGGTTGTTGATGAGTGTGATGATCATGTCAGAGTTGTACATCTCCTGAGCCAGCTGTGCAACCAGCTCTGTCACAGGCTCCTGGTCTCCTGTTCCGTACAAGATGTTCTTCATCGCTACCAAAGTCTTGGACGCTTCTTCTGATGCCTGTAAGGAAAACAGAAGCATGAGAATTTAACCTTGGAACTTCAAACTCAATAAGTTAATAGCAATGTTACCACATGCCACCAAATGCCTTGGAGGCTAACTTTTGTAGGTGGGCCAAGTGACGCAAAAGGAGTTGTATTTTTCTCTCAAAACATTCAGCTCCTTGTTACATCACAGTAAGTAACTTAAAGTTAAAGGTGCTCATTGACAAGTTTTTGTTTCTTTGTTTCATATAACCTGTAATCTGCCCATAGGTCTAACACACTGATTTCTATAGTAAGTACGAATAAACTTGGTGTGTCACACCAGTTGAAGTACATGTACATGTTCATTGTATGCTGGACCAATATTTTATCACCCCATTCCAGAAACTATATATGCAACACCTGAAGTTTGTAGGAGAATTTGTCCCCAGACCCACCTTCTCTGTCTTCTTGTCGGGAAGGTCCTTCCGTTTCAGGATCTCCATGGCGTCTCGGAGCGTCTTGGCGAGCTCCGCCGGGCTCTTCTGCGACTTGCCGAACAGCGGCATGATGGGTAATGCCTCAGGGCACTATAGGATAGACTCTCTCTCTCCTCTGTGACAATACCTCAACTGTATAGGAAATAAATGTACAGTTTTAGGATGGAAAAAGGAGGCTACATTAGACACAATTTGCATTTTATTTTTAAATCCAAAAAAGAAAACTGAGCTTTCTTCAAGGAAAACATACATGTAATCTAATCAAGTGTAAAACTCATTTTGTATAACTTATAAGGCTTTTCTGGTAGCTAATAGTGCAAGTAAGACAAAGATACTGCAAATACAGATACAACTTCACTGTGGAGTGATTAATAACCCTGTTTAATCACGCCTATTCTTATGTTTTGAGAAATGGAAGGCTCAAAACTTTCTAGAAAACCAGGGAAAGTTTCTCCAAATGTTCTCATTGGTATTCAGGTATCGACTTTTAAGTCTTAAGTCTAGACATTGTCGAACCTTAAGATTTATAGTGGAAACTTAAGTGTCGTCTGGAGGATTGGAGAGTGCCCAAGATCAATGTGTAATCAGGCAGAGGAGAATTCTGGACATCTTGCTGTATTACTTGGGCAACATCCAACCGAAAGTTAACACTTGCAAGTTGTAGGTACGACCACCATGGGTGGCATGTGGCGGGCTGATGGAATCTATTACAGCAGCCCTGCGGTTGGATCACTGGTCCAGGGTTCAAATCCCATTGGAGCTCTAAACTTGCAAACCACACATAAAATGTGTTAGGCCACACTAATTTTATTTGTTGGTTCAAGGATTGAAAAAAGGGAAAACTTGTAGCCTGTCACACACATGTACAGTAGGGAGTAAATTTATTTAGTATAATTTACTTCCAGTTATGGGTAGCACCAGTATGTGATGTAATTATTTTCCTCCTAGCCCTCTGTTTAGCCTCTACCAGGCTTCGGGAAGCGGCTGGAAAGAGTAGAAATCGGCCAAATAGAGAGATAACATGCCGAGGGAGTTGGTCCGTTAGAGAGTACATTTTGCAGCAAACTGTTCTCTCCCAGCAGACCAACTCCCCTGGCATGTTATATCTCTCTATTTGGCCGATTTCTACTCTTTCCAGCCGCCTCCCGAAGCCTGGTAGAGGCCACTCTGCATACATCAGGTCATTTTGTGCTATTTCTATTCTGGAACTTTCAAGAACCAAGGAAATAAATTGAAGTGGCTATATGCTGACAAAATGTGACAATAAAATCTCTCTAACCTTAGTTTATATTCGGTTGTGACCATAAAGCAATTTTTCATTGATAGTAAAAGGTCAGCCTTTCAACTGTCTGAATAAACATGATATATTACGTATGCAAGCAGTAGCAGAATTAGTTTCTAATGCCAGATTTTTCAGCCTCCATAGTAGGCTCTGCTTTTGGTTTGTCTGTATGTTCTTTTCTTGCAATTTCAAAAGTTTTTTTTTTTTTGCAAATTTCAGCTCGCAGGTGAGTATGTCAATTCCTAAGTATGTTTCAACTTTCATAGAATTAGAAAAATTTTTAAAGATGGTAGAATCTAAGTGCACCACACTGGCAAACCTTTAACATATGTGTTAGGAACTTAGAGCTATAAAACCTAATTGCTTAGGAATCAATTCAATGATGTGACAATCTATTTCAGCTTGCTGACACTAGCGACAGTGCCAACTACAGAATAAGGGCAATCATTGAGGGACCCAGGGGAATATATCAGTACATGACAGACATCCCTCCGTGACTGAAATAACTAAAACGTAAAAGATTTTCAACGGTACATAGTATTAGTAAGGGCTAGCAGGGCTCCAAACTACACATGGCTGTGTATATGTAATATCAAGTCTTATAACTCCGTAACATACCCTATTTACATTTGTATATACATGTATTAGAGTTAGACTACCACATCATAGAAAAGGTGAACTTAAAGAAATGTACTAATAATACTAATGCATCATCGTGTGGCGTCGTGTGGTATAGTGGTGGGGCTTTCGGCCCGGGACCCGGGGGCCCTGGGTTCAAATCCACCTACTACATACCCCGATGTTGTGCCCTTGGGAAAGGCACTTAACACACATTTCCTCATACAGCCAGTCTCTGAAAGCTGTCAAAAACTTTAGAGTTTGACGTTAGGAAGGGCATCCAGTCAGTAAAAACCTTGCTTCAAAAAAAGACTTGCACAGGCTTGCTGTTGTGCACCTCAGCATGCTGAGGGGCAAAATGGCAAGCCCAAACATGCACCTGTGCAAGCACGTCTATACCCCCGAAATACGGGGAATCAATAGACGTAAAACTTGGATAAGAAGAAGATCATCAGTACTCCCTAAGGTATCTGCAAAATGGAAAAATAGATTTTAGGAAGTATGGATCCTATCCTATCCTATTGTATCCTGGACAAAGCCCTTGTGGGGCATCATGCCCAGACAAACTAGAGACTGTTCAGAAACCATGTCAGTTCTTTACATAGCTTTTTGACTGGTGGTAACAATTGCTGACACAGCAAACAAAAATACACTGAGTCAGTGACTGATGTACTAGTACGCAGGTACAGGGTTGGTGCAGGTTAGGTGCAAGTAGACAACAAAATACCTGAACAATCTGTAGAAGAAAGTGGTATATTGAGCCCTGCAGAAAACCTTCATTGGTATAACAAGCAAGGAAGGCATTTCTAAGGGCTTAGTAACACACACATACACATACATTACCTGATTACTCCAACAAAGGCAGCAATGTTTTCAGTGACGTTAGTCTGTGATCAGCTGACGACTGGCCTAAATTTGTTCCCAAATCTAGTTACACGAGTAACACGACTGTATTTCCCTCAAACAAGTGCCACCTTATAAAGATGTCTCACTATTTGAACTATAAAACCAGTTTGCGCTTGAAGTTCAGAAGTTGAAATATCTCTTTAGGGACACTTCTGGGACATATTGTACAAGGTGGGGTCATTTGGTGTAAACACACATGTGGTACACACACACACACACACATATATATACATGTATATATATGTATAAATACATTATAATACTAATACTAGTATACATGTAAAGATTTCTTACCACTTGAACTGGAAAAACAGCACTCACTGATGAGTCAGTTCAAAAGTTGAGAATTTGATCTAGATCTTTAGATCTTTAGGAACATTTCTGGGACAGTTTAAGTAAATGTAGGAGTTAATTTTGAGTCCTGGTGTCCAGGCCGGCTTGATCCGGACCAGCTCACAGTTTGGTGTGAGGATCTATTGACCCCAATGTGACAACCTCAGGTCATTGCATGGGTACTGGGCAGCAAACATTTCATTTTCATCTGATGGAGATCTCTATGTTCTTAGAGTTAGCAAGGACATTATAGACACAGTTCAAATAAGGATGATGCTATCTTTAATTATAGAACCTTGCCTTTGAGAAATTGCCTTATACATAATACATATTCAAATTCACAAGTGTTTACCCTGAAAGACTTTTAAGTGTGAACATAACAGAGTGCAAAGAAAGCTGTCAGTTAAACTAAACACGGTGGTAAAATCTGGGTTGCAAAGTTCCCACATGCCATAGAACCCGAACTGTGTTCGATCGTGTTCGATCTGGGCAATTCGAATCGAACCCGCGTTCTATTTCGGGGTCACCTGCGGTCATTTACAATAAAGCGGCAAAACAAGCCTTTCTGCCTCCGTGCCGTGCAACAGATAAAAAACAACACTTTTCTATAGATAAAAACAGTTTCCTGGACAGTACATGTCCGCTATCATTTTTTGTGGACATGTAACATGTAGCGAAGCTACTGTCGTATCCTTGGGTGACCTTGAATACTGTAATGATTCTTTACGCCAGTATGAATAACACAATGCAGACTTTTGGTCGACATGACATGTCTGCAAAACTCGTTTTAACCTGCAAGCATGGAAAGTCAAGCATACCCCATTCACGGCTCAAAATGACCGTTATGGTTGTCCCGAAAATCGTGTTTTAGGGATTTTTTAAAAATGGCCTCAATTTTGAATTATGGGTAATTTAGTGCGAAAAATGTAAAGAAAAATCATTTTTTCACCAATATGTCGACAAAAACTAGACTTAAAATACAGAAATTAAAAAATCCCTAAAACACGATTTTTTATCTTATTCCTAGTCGTCGAAAAATATAAAAATCGGGAATCTGGGGTAATATACGTAGCCAGGTTAAAACGATGTTTGCCTAAAAACATGACATGACTTGTGGTCGGAAATCCGAAAAAAATCGTCTTTCGGAGCGAAATTTTGAAAAATCAATGATTTAACATAAACAGCTAATATTGAAAGGATGTTAAGGCAATAATTTCATTTTAATTTGACGAAATTTACCATTAAATCCTTTTTGTTTATTTTCAAGTGTTTTGCTGGTAGGCCAAACTCGGCCCAAATAGCGTCTTGTAATCCGATACCTTTTAGAACGCGCCTAGCAATGGGAAAGAATACCGTAGTGACAGACCGCCGTGAAAGGCCTCAATATCTCTATTAAAAGTCAATTATCCAGTAATGAAGCATGTGTGAAAAACTGATGAATAAAACAATTTTGTATGAGCAATTTCAAAAACAATGCTCTAAATGACGTACCTGATAATCTAT